TTAGCATAGAGTGATTAAAACCTTTTTAAGAGAAAAGATTAAACTAGTCTGAAAAAAATAAATCATCATAACATTTATCCTCATTTTAATTAAGTGATAATTGTAGAAATGATAGAATGTCATCATTCAGAATGTGAACTTTTGTTATTTCGTAAGTTCGATTCATTTATTTCTCCTTGAATCTACTTACTCGGATATTAGACTGCTAATGCGTAGACACAAAAAAAAAAAATAGCATCTGCTTAAGTTCCTCAAATAAACTAATCAAAAATTAACAAATTAATAGACCCCAAGTTAATTCATTCCTATTACTTGGGCCATGGTTAGCATTTCAATGTTAAAGGGATTAATGAAGTTTGAAAATTTCTTGAATGAAGAATCTTAAATGCTTATGAAGTTTTGTAATTAATAGTTTGATGTAAAGCAGTTAATAACTTAGTTCTATTAAACATTTATGAAGTTTATGCACTTTTTTCAAGCATTGATTGATGCACTTTATCTATTCAAATGTTTATTTAAAGTGCAACATCTACTTTTGAAAGATTTGCTCTTATAATTTATTATCCATTAAATGATTACTTTCAAACCATTATAATTATACGATTAAACTTAAAAAAGCAGATTTGTTAAGATACAAAACCTCGTTTATTATATGAATCTTTGGAGAGCTCATCAGTAGAACAACTCATTCTAAACTTGATGTAAAAGGGAGATATTAATGCCACAGTTTTAAATGCAGAGACAAAGTTAAATAAAGGAGAAGGGATGGAACAAATCTTATACAAGAACATACTGGCCTGTTGGTTCGATAAGTAGTAGAAGAATTATGGAGTAAGAGAAAACCTATTGAAATCATTTAAAAAACAAGATGAAAATTTTTAATTTGTGAAAAGTATCTTGCTTTGAAGACTGCTTAAGCATCAATCCCCTTGCTAAATTGATGGGATTAATTTTTGATCATTATTCTTAGAAAATAGATTCACCAATCTTGAAACAATAAAATGCTTTCCATTATTTTGTGATGTTGTGATGAACATTAGAGTGAAACGCTTTAACTAGTTCAATAGAATTGATCATCATTTAAAAATAGATAAGGTGAAAGAAAAGAAAAGATAAGAATGTCAATTATTTATGAAGGTTTGAGTTATATGTGACACAGCTTATTTGAGAGCTATTTTAAGAAAATTTTTGATTTGATTTTGAGGTTTCTAATTCACTTCCCATCAAGATAGAAATTCCATCTAAGCAAACGTTTAATCGAACTAAGGTTTTAGTATGTAAAGGAGATAGCCCAGACACGATTAAAAAAAGATATCAATAAAGATTCACGATCTGAATATCCCTCTTGAAAAAAAAGATAAAATGAGTTAGAATTAAATATTAATAGAATCCTGCCTATTTAGTTTTCCCACATGAACAATTAAATAATTATGAAATGGAAACGGGTAGTGTTGATGAAGAAATACAATAAATAATTATAGAGTCAAACTTTAGATACCAACAAGAATTTGTAATGAGTCCTAATCTGATTCATCGTAGAGTTTGTAAATGATCAGGGAAAGAGCGAAAGGAGAGATACAAACCTCATTCATAGCACTGCTAGCAATTGTAAGTTTTTAAGACGCTGAGGATAAATGTAAAGTAATGCTTGCAAAGAAGGATATAATTGGTTGAACATTACTGGTAATTAGTAGTTTATTCTATACACAATATATAAATTTTAGACCTGAAATTTAATTGAAGCCACCATTTATAAAAGGTGGGACTGTCAGAATTTTTAAATCTATTACTACATTTCTAACAGAAATCATTGACCGTTTGATATTGCTTTTTACCATGCATTTATTCAAAAAGTATTTATGATGTGAAGGAATGATTCATTTTGTATATCAAATATCATTATAACTTCAAAGGGTAGAAAACACCTAAAAAAAGTGGTTCATAAAACTAAAAGAGATAGGAAACTGTTTATCATGTCCAGTATCGGGACATCACTTAAGAGATGTATCACAAATTGATGACATTTACAAATGTTAGACTTCAGTATTTCTTACAAGAAGTATTTACATTATTATAGTCGATTAGAGGGATTAACCATAAAATGCTGCTTTGTATTGACTCATTATTAGAATCCACTCTGATTACATCTGCATTTACATAAACGGTGTAAGATCTAACTCCTTAATAGAGTTGATACTGCGCATTATTAGCAGATTTTGTAATTTAAGGTATGGGTGATGTTGAATATGAATTTCTGTATGTTGCGTTTGAATGCAGGTGTAAATACTAAGGACATGATGAAATTCTATGATATACTCAGAAAAAAAAGGAATACCCGTCGCACCATTTAGATAATCGGCATCATTCATTATATTTGCTAAGGGTTTTTTGGATGTGTGTCACAGTCTTCCTTAATTCAGCTTTTAAATTAATCAGCATTATCAAGACCTCTGACTAATTTTTAGACATCATTCCAATTTTATTGTGAAGCAATATCAACATAGCAGCATTTACTTTATTGTAAACACAAGTTTTAGGACTACAGGTATTAATATTATTGACTAAGCTGAATCAAATTATTCTCAGAGGCTAATTTTAGTAAAATCTCTCATAGAGTATTAAGCATCCATCAACCTACCTGTGTGGCCAAACATGATTATTGGAGTAAGCATTTGATAAGCTACTACGATTTAAAGGAATCCATCTGTATTCCAGAATTCATGGATTACAAGAATTAAAATTTAGATTAAAATCCAACATTAAAAGAGCAGCGTTACTTTCAGAAAGAACATATTTGTTTTAGCTTTTGAATTTAGTAAATGGAATCAAGATTATTGCAAAGAGTTTACCCTAATAAGTTTAATATGATTAGCTTACAATGTATTCCAGTGAACAATAAAAAAAGTAATGTACAATAATTTGCTACAATATGGTCAAAAGTGCAACACTTTAAATAGTTAAAAAAAACATAAGGGAAACATTGCAAAGTTGAGACTTAAGTTCTCAATGGTTAAAGAAGTAAACATATCTTACCATTTACACCATCCTAAAGCGATTCTTAACTTATGAACTTATTAAAAGGAGCAAGCAGCATAAGCAGATAAATATCATTAACAAAATGTTTAGTGTTATAATTTGAGTAAGTAGTGCAAACATACATTTACAAATCCTAAATATGCTAATAATATATCGTTCTCTAAGTATGATCAAGAAACTCAATTTTTTCACAGTTGCAGCAGTACAAAATCAACATACAATGCCTAAAATGCAAGTTGCACATGCATATATCACTCATTTATTCAAGTTACTAAAAAATGCTTTAAGTAGTAGCATAGCTAATATCCATAGAAACAAATGAATCAGGATTTTACTCTCTGTTACAGGTAAAAAGAATACTTATAAAGTTAGAGCACTTATTTAATGCACAGAGTAAGAAATAGTCACAAAAAAATCATATACTTTCAGTAGGGTAACATGAAACAATTTAAAAGGACGAATACATTAATATTGTGTTTTAGGAGCACTAAAGGTAACATAATTGACAAGGGTAAAATACATTGTATTCATAGACTAAAGCGATGATAAGTAGCACAAGGATTGAAACTCTTATGATTATCAAAGTGATTAAAAGCACATGAGGAACTCTAAATGCAAGAGTTGTGCTTTTGTTTTATAGATTAATATAGGAGTTCTATTGTTCGAGCTAGTATTATTAAAAAGTCTATATGCAGATAAATTATATAAACTCAATCGAAACATACATTTTAATTGCATAATATAAGGCATAAGGTTAAATATTATTGGTGAGCCATAAATATTATTAGGGATAGATTAAAAACAAAATAATCCAAATAAAAGCTTATTGTTTTTGATATTTCTATTGCTTATAATTAAGTGATTAGAACAAAATTACGGGAAATTATGAGAAAGAGACACTGTTAGGATTTTTACATTATATGATATTTTGATTTTTATGAACAAATTGAGAAGAGAGAGACATTAATGTAAAGAATGTAGTGCAACAGGGAGAGGATTTGTGTTCCTTGTTGCTTGATATATATTTTGACGAGTACATTAAGTAGGTTAAAGGAAGAGTGGAGAAGAGGTAGAAATTCTACTCAAAGAAATTAAGAAAGATTAATATTTTACTTGAGGAATGGCAAATGCTGGTTACCCTGATGATGATGTAGCCATAGGTGCTAGAGGAGAAGTGCTGGCGGAGCTTTTTTTAATATTTAGAGAAGTTGAAAAAGGGATACAATTTGATGGTGAATGAAAAGAAAACTGCCTATAAGGCTACAAAGTAATCCAAAAAATGGAATACATGAATTACAAAAAAAAGTGGTATTCTTTAGACTTTTAATGTAAAAATGAAATATAAGGGGAAATATAAAACATTAGTTGATGAAGGCTCGATGGGTATCGATTTTGAGGAAAATTTAGCTATCTAGCTTTGTTACAAAAAATATGGAAATTATATACACTTCCTATAATCAGATACACTCGATTTGCTACATGGATTAATGTAAAAATTCTGAAATGCAATGTGCGGTAAAGGAAATCATTTAGGAAAGTGATTGGATGAGGAAAATATTCTTAAAAAAGATGATATTTTTTCAAAATTATTGGATGATTGGAAAATGATACTTGATATATATGGTTTATAAGAAGAAATTGGAGTGGTCCTAGTAATAAAAACAAGAGAATAGTATTTTAATGGAAAAGAGATTTGAATATGAAAATGAGTTAATAGTAAAGGGAAGATATTTGGGAGAGGAAAAAATTTTTGGTTTATGAAAATGAAAAGAATTGAATTTTAAAAAGAAGTAATTAAGAAAAGTGAAGCCTAATCGATTATATGAGTTAATTAAATGGTAGGAGTAAATACCTTCTAAATCAAGAACATTTTCAGATATCGCTATGTTAAAATGTTTGCATTTGAATAGAAGTTATACTAGAAATTGGAAAATGAATGGAGTATAAACTTACCAAAGAACACATTTTGGGTGCTTAGGAACCTCTTGGGAATATTGAAAGAATTGATGAATATGTAGAAAAGGGAGAGAATAAAGTTTGAGGCAAAGCATAAAGAATCCTTAAGTAATAAATGAAGAAAATTCTTGTAACTAAAACTAAGTACATTATTGTCTCCCTTAGATCTTATCTACAATCACAATTATTCCATTTCACCTAAAACAAAAAGAATACATGACAGATCAAAAATATTAAATGAAACTGTATACAAAAGTAACATTAGCAATTCCATCTCTTTTGAAGCAAACTTTGGAATAGGTATTGGGTAAGGAATAATAATAAAGGAATTCCTTTGAATTAAACTTTAATTTTTTTAATTCTCTTCTTTAAAACAACAGTCAGAAACAGAAGAAAGCCCTTAACAATGACATTAAGCATCAAGAATAAAGGGTAAAGATACAAGTTATTAAAATTGTTTTATCCAAGATTGAGAAATGTGAAAAAGTTTTTGGATGTCATTTTGTGCATTCTACTTTTGAAAATTCATCAGGTTCATCGTCTTCCGCAATAAATTAATACAGGGAAAGCTATTACGATAAATTTTGCAATACTTTTTCGATTTTTCCAAACATTGAAAGTACCAATACAATTGAGATTTATAATACTGCTTTCTCATTACATGGATTATTGAGAATTGCGATGTAGTTATGATATTTGATTAAGGAGCTTTAGACAATTAATTGGTAAAGCTAAGATAATAATGCACTTTTGAAAATTATAATGATGTTATAGCGGGATGTCTTTTATAAATGAATTGCTCTTAACATTTTCCTGGTCATTAGAACGGAGACTTAAGAAAATTGTATACTAATCTTGTTCCTTATCTTCGTTAACATTTTTTAAAATGTGCCTTTACACCTATTGATACTAGGTAAGATTTGAACTACTAATTAACCAAACTAAGTCTACCTAACTATTCTTATTTCTCTTTTCAAAATCCAACCAGAAATTTATCCTTGCTCAAGCATTGATTACAAGATGAAATTTGTATAATTTAGATTTCTAATAAGCTTCGTCAAAATTATCAAATAAGGTAGAATGGATAGATGATGCTTTATTACATATTAATTGTAAAGTTGAAAATAGAAATCTAGGAAAAACAGTTATGCACATTGGGAATCATAAAGATTTGGGACTTCACTTCAAAATTTCTTTTGAAATTTTTTGCTGTAAATTTCGAAAGAAAAGCTTTCTTACATTATTACTTATAAGATGGTATGGATGAAATGGAATTCACTGAGCCTGAATCAAATCTAAATGATTTTGTCTCTGAGTATTTTAATGCTGTTACGGAATGTCGGATTACGATGCAGAGGAGTAAGGTTATGACTAGGACATATGAGAATAATTATAAATTATTAATTATTCTTAATAAAACCATTTTCTAGGTATTCCTAGAGAATAATAAGGTTCTTTTAAAAAGAATTATGTAATCCTGTTGAAAATTGCCCAATTTTAGTCTGTGCTTAACAATTAAATAGTTGATAATGAGTTACCAAAAAAATAAGTTGTAGTATAAATCAATAAATAAAGATGATTTCTTCAAAGGATATTAGCAGATCCAAATCGCATAACTTGCATCTTCAGCCATAAAATAACACTTTCTCTGTTTGAATATCATTATGAGTTGATTGTAATAATTTAATTATATTAAATTGAGATTAACTAATTTTAATCAATTAAATTAGAAATAGATAATTCTAATTTTCAACTTTTTAACAGATGGATAGATCCTGCAGATGAAATGATAAATATTATGATTCAAGGAAGATTTTGCAAAGATGAAGCAACAATACAAATATATATGTTTGGGATTAGTTTAATTTCATCATATGGTTTAAAACTGTTTGCAGTTTCTATTAATTATAGTCTTAGATCAAATATTAATTTTTGTCGAAAAAAGGCATCAAAAAGATAATGAATCAATTTAACTTAAACTAAGTTTGAGTATTCCTTAGAATTGATCTTTAATAAAAATTACAATACTATATTTAATTAAAATCATCATAAAAATGTGATGACATTTAATAGGTTTTAAATAAAATATAAATGTATCAAGGTTAAGGAAACTTAAGTTAAAATTAATAAATAAGAATTAATTTAAGAAACTCATTAGCTAAAGGAAAAGTTATTACCATTTGCTTTTAGAAATTAAGAAAAAAATCAGCGCAACAAGGCTAACCTCAGATAATTAATGTCTTATACGAAATTTATATAAAAAACATCATAAATATTAAATCTTTACCAAGCATCAAATTAGACAGTCCTATGAATTAAAATTCTTAATCCTAAAACAAAAACTACTAAGTTTTTCGTAATTTATTCTCTTTAAATTCCAGCAAATCAATGTAGTTTATCTCATATTAATACCTTAATATTTGGCAATGCTTCTTTTATAAATATAGAATAAAACAAGGAGTAAGGATAAGTCAAACTATGAGAGATTGATTTCTATTCAAAAAATTAAGTAAATTAGAAGAGATTACAAAAACCAAAAATTAAGGTAAAACTAAGTGAAGTATTTTCCTACATTATGTTTAGTAGTTTGATATACTTTGCCATATTTATGCATATGGACTGTTTCTATTGTGCTGATTTATTTAAATATGGGATGATTAGAAATTAAATATAAAAATGGAAGGCAAAAATTTCATCAAATTGTAGTTTTATAATTGAAAATAATAATAAATTAAATTAAAGTAAATCCACTTTAGAACTTAGTATTACAAGCAACCTTACCACTAGCATCTCATATAATAAACTTAAAGATCAGTATCAGTCCCTCTAATAGAATATCAATGTATGCTTGGAGCAGGATAGAAAAAACCTTTATAGAGTGTGACAATATAAGCTGAATACAAGAATAGAATTCTGGGAGTTATCGAAATTTGGTTCACTAATATCCTAAAAAGAATATATACATAGGCGAAACAGATATAAATCAAGAACTTTTATGACAATAGAGGATATAATGTGGACTTCAGTTCATTATTATCAAAATTGATAAATGCATAGAATCTATATAAATTAAATCTAGAAATTCAAAGACACGAGAATTACCTTCTTAATTTATGATTTTAAATAGAGAAAAGTAATTTATAATGTAGATATTTGTTGTTAAATTAAAAACTCTTTGATTTTCAAATGATAATAAATTCTTAGTATTATTATAAATTTCTTGTAATAGCTGCCCAATTTAGTTAAACAATGTAAGATTATAGTTAGTTGAAACTGCATGGTTATTCAATCGGTTTTTTCAAAATTTACTTTAAATTAAGAAAGCCACCAATAACTCAAAAGGGCATATATTTTGTAAAACTACTATTTTTGGATGTCCATACTCTATTATCCAAATTGATTATCACAACAAAACAGTCGTTTTGATTTTAGAATAATTATTCCTTTTTGAGAAGATGTTTTTAATATTTATATAGATAAATTAATCTAAAATTTAATTCAGAATTTAATTAAAAATAATAAATCAGTATTATGGAAAATATTTATTAAATTTTAAAAGATTCATTTTTATATTTCAGGTAGATTACAACAATTATAAGGTCATAATAATATTAAATAAGGTTGATAAGCCTATAATGAAATATTATATTCAATGACATGCTATATCATTCAATTATAATTTTTAATTTATCATAGAATCATAATATTTATTAATTAAGTTATGATATTGTCTATCTTATTTTAATACATTCCTAAAAATAATTTTGTCAATCCACATAAAGCATTCTTTCTTATTTCAATTTAAAATATTTATATTGAAAGGATTTTTGTACCTAGATCAAAATATGTACAATAGATTGAAATTAATAAAGTCAAATCTCTTATAATAATGGTGGGTCTTCAGATTAATATTGTAATTCTATAGTTTCATTTATATTTTGAAGTCAAAAAATTTGATAAATAAAATGATATAGATCAAGTTCAAAAAGGATCACTATTATTGTATTTAAGAGCTGCAAACATATCTTTGTAAATAAACTTATTAACTGACTGAAAAAGGACATAAATAAACATCCTCTCTTCATAAAGGGTTTCAAATTTCATCTTAAATAATTTTTATAAAGAAACTTAGAAAATTCGATTAAAATTTTTAAGTCCTTTCTTCCAAATTCTCTAAAATATTCAACTCAAGATTAGCTCTAAAAATCAATATTAAAAAGGGGGATAAATTTGAATTTCAGAAGACTAAAATTCAGTGAAGGAGAAAAATAAAGCAGGTTTATGATAAAATAATGAATATCATTACAGTTTTTATCTAAGATATGTTATGATATTAGGTTTTCAATAACTTTAAAAGTATAAAATGTGTTTGAGGATAATAATAATTCAAATTCCAAAGCTGCTGGGAAATTGTCATAAATTCTATTCATCCTTAATTTTTTATGAGTTTAAAAAAACCTTTCTCAATTAGAAATATGAAATTAATGGAACTTAGATATTAGTATCCATGATAATTTATGTTCCCATTTATTGATGGAGATAAACTCAATGTTGACAATCTATAGTTAGAATAGTGAATAGCATCAATTCTAAATTGCTTAATAAAGGCTTTTAAATAACATATTTAGCTCAAAAAATCTTCAAAATTTTGCGAAAGATGCAAATTTAAAACTACCTAGCATAGTTGAAGAATTTGGTGGTTTTCTTAGTTAGCAGGCTGAATTCTCATATGTAAGAATAGATTAAGTTATTTTCATGCTCTACTAATTTATTATTTGTTATTTTCCTAAAGAAAAGGGTTGAGAATTTTTGCAATCAGACAGATT